TTCTATTTTGCTCAAGTCTGTTTGGTGTCCTGGAGGCTTCCTGTACCTGAATGGGCATAGCTTTCTCTAGATTTGGGAAATTTTCTGTTATTATTTTGTTGATATATTACGAATCCCTTTTGCTTGCACATCTTCTCCCTCAATGCCCATGATTCTCAGGTTTGGTCTTTTGATTGAGTCAGTGAGTTCTTGCATATTCCTTTTGCAGGTCTTGAGTTGTTTGACTAATAGCTCTTCAGTTTTTCCTTTAATTTCCATTTCATCTTCAAGTTCTGAGATTCTGTCTTCCGTTTGTTCTAGTCTGCTGGAGTGGCCTTCGATTGTGTTTTGTATTTCTGTTTCATTCTTTTTCCTGAGGTTTTCCATATCATGGGTCACTTCCTCTTTAATATTGTCTATTTTTGTCTTTAATTCATCTATCTCTCTATTTATAGTGTTCTCTGTTTCACTTTGGTGTTTATTTAGGGCTCCTATGAGTTCATTTATTTGTTTCTGTGTCTTCTCAAATTCTTTATTTTTGGTGTCTTGAAATTTCTTGAGTGCCTCTTGTATGTTTTGGTTGACCATGTCTAGTAACATGTCCATGAAATTCTCAGTGATTACTTGCAGGATTTCTTCTTTGAGAGTGTTCTTGTGGGCATCGTTGGGTTCCTTGCCATCATTTATCTTTGTTTTGTTGGAGTCCGGAACTGGGTATCCATTTTCTTCATTTCCCTCTGAATCCTGTATTGAAGTATTTTTGGGGGGAGAATGGTTTCCATCCCTTTTTTGTCTTCCCATCACTCCACTTGGTACTGTGCAACTATGTTCTTGATAGGCTAGTTGGTGGTTTCAGTCACCTGTTTTCTTGCCCTTGGTTTAATTTTGTTTTGTGGCTGTATTGGGTTTTTAGCTAAGTGTATGTGTGGTATTTCTGTCCCTGGTCTGGGTGTAATTTAGTATCAACTAACTCACAATAGTTAAACTAACAAAACAAAACAAAAAACCCCATAGAAATCAATGGGGGGAGATGAACAAATAAACACAAACAAACAAGAATCAAAACAAACCAACAAATAAAAATTCCATGTTCAGGAACAATGGAATTTCAGTCTCAATTTAAGTTCTGGTGTTATGCCTCCAGCATCCAGTCCTGGTGTTGGTATTTAAGCCAAAGTTCTGTCGTAGTCTTGCCAGGTGGTTGGGTAGTGTTTTCTTCTGTCCTTCAGAGGCAGCTCTTTTGTCAGATCCTTCCTCAGTGAGGTATGGCAGTTTAAGTTTGTATGTTGTCCTCAAGTTCCGGAATCAGCTCTGTAGCCCACCAGCTGTCCTGCTTTGGAGTTGGGTTTTCACTGTGCTTGTTTACTGGGGGCTTGTTTCTTTGCCTCACCCCCTTTCTCTGGAGCAAGGTCAATGATCCATCAGCTGGCCCCCTGTTGTCAGCGTGTTGTGATGGTTTGCTGTTTATTTTTCAATTATGCAGTCGTCGTTTGACTTTGTCCACCATCCACTCTTTATCCAGGGAAAAAAAGAACAGAAAGTAGCAGATATTTAGGAAGGTGGCTTCATTCCCCTGCTGCTGGGCACAGGAACAGGCTATAATTGAGTACTTTGCTGCCATTTATTATAAGCTGCACAGTTCATTTTCTTTGTGCAATGGTTGATGACTACGCTGAAACTTCTTTTTAAAGGAAGACCTAATTTTTCCTCCCCTGTACAACAGGGATTCTTACATTTGAGAAATCATGATTTGGATATTAAAGGTTTCTCTTGGCCCTCTTGGGGTAGCACATACAGTGAAAACCAGTGGCCCACCACTTCACTCTTGCGGGTGTCCCACGTGGCTCTGGGTCCAGAAGAAATGAGCCAAGAGTTTCAAGGAGTGGCAGCTGTCTCTCCTCCCTCCCCCATGGCCCTGTTCCTGCCACATCTGCATCCCCTTACCTTCCACCTCATGTTGGTGATCCTGTGAAATCAAAATTACCCATCAATAGTGAATGGGGGATTGGAGCAGTGCTTGAGGCAGGAATGAATTAATATCCTGCATCATGGTCATTCAGACCAAGGCACTAACACCAGACAAAGTGTCTCTGACTTATCTGAAGTCAGTGGGGTGTGACTTGGCTGTTATGACCTGTGACTCCCACCATGTACATGCTGAGTCCCTCAAAGGTCCAACATGGCCTTTGCTTTCTGGGTTGGATATTCAGGTCATGTGATGCTTTCACATTCTGGGGAGTATAGACACCCCTATCTAGCAAGAAATACAACAGACCCTTGGAATCCACAGGTGTATGGTTCCCAGGAGGACACCCTTGAGGAAAAACCATGTGCTCAGGATGCATAGTGTTCAGGACTCTAAAATGAATCACATTTACCTTTACTGTGTAGGCATCCATAGTGTGAAACCGCATGGAGCTGGCCACATTACTGTCACAAAAAATGGCTGTTGTGCACATGAATACTCACCAAAAACTAGATCTTATTTCATGCTGTTTTCTGAAATACTGCGGATGCCTGATTGATTTTTTCTATCACACTGCCCAACTTGCACTAAAGACTTGCTGCTTTTCTACAAATCCCAGATGTTCATTTATCACTTCAACTAAGCACATTCACTTTTATCTTGTTTTGGGAGCACCATTTGCTTCTTGGGAGACATTTTCATTTTTTAATTTTTAAGTTTTTATTAGCATTAATTGTACAAAGGGTTCTAATTGTGATACTTACCATATGCATTTATTGTACTTTGATCAATTTCACTCATCAATATTTCTTCTTCTTAACCCCCTACCATCCTCCCCACTCCTTTTTAACAATTTTTGGTGAGTTTCACTGTGCTATTTTCATACTTGTATAAGATGTACTTCTATAATATTTGTCCCTCTCCACTCCATCACCTTTTCCTTCCCCCTTCCTGGCAGGTAGATTTTTCCCAAAATGAAGGGCAGGAAAACACTCAGCAAATCACACAATTTAAATACAGCTCAAGACAGCACCAGACCAACCAAGAGCTTCTCCACATCCACCATGCTGCAATGTGCATGTAGGAATATATAAATTTTGTTTTTTGAAATTTCTTTTGATTACTTCATTTATTTTTTTTAACCTCACTTGTTCAAAAGCAAGTGTAATAAGTCTGTGAACATAGTGGGCTTACCTTCCACATATATCAATTTGGATATGTGACCTTTTCTTAAAATTAATCACTAGCAAGATGCCAATGGCTCATTCCTGTAATCCTACGTACTTGGGAGGCTATGATCTGGAGGATGAAGTTTTGAGGCTAGCCCAGGCAAATAGTTTGTGAGACCCCCATCTCCAAAATAACCACAGCAAAATGGACTGAAGGCATCTTGCTTTGCAAGCAAGAAGCCTTGAATTCAAATCCAAGTCCTGCCAAAAATGAATAAATACATACAGAAAAGCAAAAACAAAAAATTTTATTCACTGTGAGGTTTGACATTGGAGGACTTTCTGCCATCTGCAGAGGAAAACTGGAGATGAATGGGAGAGACAGAATCTACTCCAACAGGGGCTCAGGTTCTTGTCCCTCCTCCTCAAGGTCACTTTATTTGGAAGAAGGTCACTGGAATGATGAACACAAAGGTAAGTCACCCCATGCTTCCAGGAAAACCAGCCCAGCAAGCTCTTTCTGCTTCTATAAATATCTAAGTATTTCTACAGATGCCAAAGCAATGAGCCCCCTTTGCCTTTTGGAAGCCAGTAGTGGGTGGAGGGGAGATGCCACGGACACTGCTGCTCTGCACTGGCTTTCTTTATAAATCTCTGTATGCCTGGGCTCTGGGAGAGGTCCTATGGACATCTTGTGATGGTCTGCAACCTACAACAGTCTGAAAGAACAGCCTGAAGGGCTCCAACAGCCCTGGTTTCAGCAGTGGGGAAAGCCATTTTGTGTGCCTGTCCCCAAGGTTGGGCTCAAACAGCAGGAAAAGGGAATTCTAGTGTCCTTACCAGAAGCTTCTGTATAGAGGCTGTTCCTGTCACTGCTTTGGGCTTCACAAGAGAGAAACACCTTTCTTCCCTCCATTCCAGTGATCCTTGCCTCTAGTCTCACCACCGAGCCCAGAATGAGTGGGCTACAAGAAAGCAGTGAGTGAGAGAGGCTTCCTGGCTTGTCTCTGAGGGAGGGGTGGGCGATTGTGGGGGTGGCATGTGTCCCTGCCAGAATGAGGTCCTCAGATTCTGCTCTAAGGGCTGAGATGACAGAGGTAATGGAAGAAAGGTGAGCCCTAAAACAAGCCCAGATGGTGTGGTCCTGTGTTTTATCATCACATGGAAGCCACAGATCACTCCACCAACATTTTGACACACCAGTTCCCTATCTGCTGGACAAATCAAACTCCTGTTCTTTTTCTGTTATCTTCCAAACTGGAAACATACACAACATTCTGGCCAAACGTTTATAAACATAGCACTTATCTTCTGGTCACAGTTCTCCCAGAACCTTGACCCAGTCTTCCTTTCCTGGACATATCTCCATATTCTCCTAGAGGTGTCTGCTGAGGAAAAAAGGGGTACTATGGCCAATTAGAAAGCTTCACATCCCCAAGCTGGGGGCCAGTAGCTCACATCTGTAATCCTAGATTCTTCTGAGGCTGAGATTGGGAGGATCAAGTTTCCAGAGCAGCCCAGGCAAAAATTTAGTGAGACCCCCATCTCAACAGAAAAGGCTGGATTTGGTGGTTCACACCTGTCATCCCAGCAGATGCTGGAATCATCAATAAGAGGATTGTGGTCCCGGCTGGCCTGGGCAAAAAGTGAGACCCTATCTCCAAAGTAACCAAAGCAAAAAGGGCTAGGGGCATGGCTCAAGCAGTAAAGCACCTGTCTAGCAAACACAAAGTTCTGAGTTCAAACCCTGGTACTGTCAAAAAAAAAAAGTTTAGATTGGTCCATGTGAAAATCACAACTAGAAACTCCTCTTTGCTATCAGGACAATTGCTTGATTTACCATCATAACACGTGGAGTGACCCAATACCATCCTCCTCCTAACTAGAACCAGGCAAGGAAGCAGACCTCTTGAAGGTGATGGTCATCGTCCCTGTAAAGACTGCATTAGCACTTCTGTATGCTGTCATGAAAAATGTGGAGTCTATCATGGTCCCCAGTGCACCACCGTGGACAATCCTATAAGGCCAGATGAAAGGAGAAAAGGAAGAAACAGTCACTATACTGGTGAGATGCTGGTGAAGGGTCCCTGTCAACCAGGACCAGGTCCTGTTTCACTCAGTGTGGAGCAGAGAAATGAGGAAAACACAAATGCCAAGGTAAAACAAGCAATGTTGTCTACGGTGAGTTGTACCTGCTCAGAACTGGGAAAGCCCTCTGCCCCAGCATCAGCCTCAGTCTCAAATTCTGAGGAATCTGTATTCTCTTCTGGGTTAGTTTCAGATGGCAGTAGAATGGTACAGTGAAAGCAACAGGAAGAAAGACCTAACACTGAATCCTACCTCTCTAACCATGTGACCTCAGTCACACCACCACTTGGGGCACCTGTTTCTTCATCTATTAAATAGAGAAAGGTAATATAAGACTTCCTATGACCATTACATTAACATAGCTAGGACTGGGAAGGGGGTGCAGCTCAGAAGTAGAGCACTTAACCTAGCATATATGACGTCCTGGGTTTTATCCCCAGCATGGCAAAAATTAAATTAATATGGAAAAAAATGAACATAGCCAAAAGGTCTAGTATATGGCAGCCACTAAACAAGAATACTTTCTCCCCCTTCTCATTTCTAAAGTCACTTCAGTTCAGGGGAGTGAATATCAGGAAAGAAGAATTCCCCAAGTAGGGAGAGGCCACACCTCAGCTGGGTACTGGGAGGAGTTCCCTACTTAGGAAGTCAGTGGAACTAGACATGTCTCCACTGCACTATAGTAACCAAAACCCTGTGGGAAGCAGCCATGGACCCACCAGCTGGCCTCTCACCTCATTTTCTGCTCTTTGACCAAGTACAAGCCCATCTGAGCTGCTAGCTGGGATGACCATCTGTGTCTTACCCCAGCAGCCCTTCCAGGAAGGGCCCAGGCTGGAACAAGCATACACATTTCTTCTCTGAGTCATTGTGGAAGATGACATACTCAAAGCCGAGTCTCTCCATCTCTATTATCCTGAGAAAGAGGTGGCTTTTTTCTGTCATTTGGAGAAAAGGGTCATATCAGTTAGAGGGGACTCAGGTGGCACAGGTCTCCAGGGCAGAAAGTACCTGACCACAGGGGTGTCCTGGGGAAGCCCTCATTCCTCAGGATTCCCCGTGTGCTCTCTTGAAGAAGAGCAGCTTCCAGGGAGCTGGAGAGATGGCAGGGTGAATGGTCGGATTTGCAGGACTCTGGGGACCCAAAGTCAAAAGACACGGTCTTTTCCTGCCTCTTCCTTCTCAGCTCACAGCCCCTCCATGCCTACCTCTCTTGTGTTCTCCAGGCTCTCCCTCTTTCATGTGCCATATCCAATTGCCTGCCATTTCGTTTCCATCCATTCTTTACCCATTCAGACTTCCAGCTCAAGTTGACCACTAGGGGAACATGTGGCCAGTCCACAACAGTCTGTCTCCTGACACCAGAGTGAAGGCACTGCCCTCCTTCATCCTGCACCTTCCTGGTCCACCCAGGTGGACCATCTGGTCCTCCAGGTGGGCAGGCATGAGGTATAATGGGTTGCCAGGAGTAACTGCCAGGACTGGAGAGAGAACAGGAACTCCTGAGTCTGCTCCAGCCTCTGCCCAAACCTCACCAGGTCACTTCTCTAGGCATTCCTTGGTTTTCTCACTTATAACTTGAGGTTGAACTATGTGGACTCTGAGTTGTTTTCCTGGCCTAATGTCACACAAATCTGGGATCAACATGACCACCCTGGTCCTGACTCTCAGGCTAATGCAAGCCTCACCGGACACACAGGAGATGGGCTGGGGCACAGAGTACCTCTGTACATTACAGAAGCTCAGTTTGGCCAATGGCTCTGTATTATTTATAGTCCTGCTCTCCTCCCCGCTCCAGAGTTCAAATTAAGCATTCCTGAAGTGAAGGTGGGGTTTAACATACCAGGGGCAGCCTTAGCAATCTTTGCCAGTTCTGCTTCTTTAAGGAGATGCTCAGAATTCTGGTAACTAGCAATCTTAGCCAGGTCTGCTTCTTTAAGGAGATTCTCAGAATTCTGGTAATTTGGAAGTCTTGTCCATGGCCTGTCCCTGGTCTTCTCCATGAGCTCATTATACAGTTGCATCATGACAGGGCTCCAACTGGCGTTAGGAAGGGAATAATCCTTTAGGTTGGACTGGAGGGAGCTGCTGCTTGAGATCTACAAAAGCACAGAGGCAGCAGACTGTGCCCAAAATTATTTCAATCTGACTCATTCAGTCAAGCATTTACTAACTAGAAGGGCCTGTTTTCACCAGGCAGAGCACACAAATAAATGGTCAGAGGTGAGAGAGAGAGCATGTTAGATTCCAGAGCTGTGCAGGTGGAGATGTCTAGTGGGAGAAAAGGAATAGCAAGAGAGAAAGACTGGGGGCCTGACAGCCATGGTAAAGAATCTTTGCTATCCTGAAGAGTTTTAAGCAAGAGAGTGAACGGTCAGATTTGCAGGATTCTGGGGACCCAAAGTCTAAAGACACAGTCTTTTCCTGCCTCTTCTGAGCTCACAGCCCCTCCATGCCTACCTCTCCTGTGTTCTCCAGGCTCTCCTGATTTTCCAAGACTCTTCTGAATACACCTAGGCTAAATATCTAGTTTTGGTGGTGGTGGTGATGGTGGTTTGTTTTTGGCGGTACCAGGGTTTGAACTCAGGGCCTTACATTTGCTGAGCAGGTACTCTACCACTTGAGTTACTCCAAAAACCCAATATCTAGTTTTTTGTGCCTTCTTGCTGTCCTATAGAGGCAGGCTAGAGTTAGGGAAAGTTTGGGGCTCACAGAAAATATATGACTTAATATTGTGTGTGTGTGTGTTTGCAGGTGCCTCACCCAGTGATGGCTCAACCATCCTCACCTGGGGGGGCACCTATTCCCCCCCTCCCCACTCATTGATTATTGGATGGGAATCAGCTGATTCCTCCCTTCCCCTAGGTTAGCATACGTTTTAAAAGCACCGGGAGAAGCTCTCCTCTCCGCCCCCCCCTCCCACCTCTCTGTCTCCCTCCTTCCCTTCCTTCCTCTCCCCCCACCAACTTTTAATAAACTCCATTTATACCCACAAGTCCCACCATGGATTCTTCCTGGGACACAAAGAATTTGGAAGTCTTCTGATTGAAGACTGCACAGTGGTGCTGCTAACACTGTCACAATTGAACACTCTGCCAGGGACTTTTTTTTGGCAGACAGAATGGGATTGGGTCCAGGTTGCTAGCCCTCTCAGGAACTTTGGATAACTTTTTTTAATGACAAGATCTGCTTGTACCTTCTACCTGGCTGTTGTTTGCAGCCAGATCAGTTCTCCCTGTGCTTGTTGCGGTGGCTCATTTTTCTGCTGCATGAATCTGGTTTGCTCCCAATCGCTGTGCATGCCCTTACTATTTACACAGATGCTGAGAAATTGATTCTTAAGTTATGTTCAGACAGGCTCTTATGCAGGGATGGATAAAAACTCTAGCACCAAGGAATAATCACCCATCCCTACTATCCAACTGGAGGGGGCTCTGCTTTTGTGAGCATTTGAATTCAAGTCTACAAAACTGCTTACAGTTAATACTCTGCACTTCCTGCCATGTGTCGCTTAAATGCTGTGAGCATCAGTTTTCCAATCTGTAAAATAGGAATAACACCGCCTGTCCAGCAGGTTGCTGTGACGACTGCATGAGAGGATGATAGATGAATACACCTGGCCAAAGCAAACATTTCAAGATGTCATTTTCATCTGGGTCCTAAAGGAAGAATCTCCCCTTCCCCAGCTGGGTCTCAAGGAGTTCTTTCTTAGCACTCTTCATATTAGATCCTGGACTCAAGTCTTTTTGGAATGAGGTTACCAATGAAAATATGAAAGGTGGGACATCCAATTGATGTATTTAATTTATATATAATTCACTGTTAATTTCACCTACTATATTTTTTTGACCTGGAAATATCTCATTTTAATGTAATCATTGCTTTTCCTCCAGCCTCCACTGCTCAGATTTTCTTGCCCCAATTCTGCTCACTCTGCACATTGGCCACCCAACTTTCTTACATCAGAATTGGTCAGCAGGAATTACAGGGTGGCCTCAGAGTCAATAAGAGCAGAAGGCTCAGAAGATACTGTCTCTAGTTTTGAGGCAGGCTACAGTTAGGGAAAGTTTGGAACTCATAGAAAATATATGACTTCATATTGTATTTCAGATTGAATATTCCTCTCCTTCTCTGAGCCTTCTATTCAGTTGCAAATGTGTGTAGGTTATCCGCACCCTAGCTCAGGGACAACTCAAACCACACTAATCTAGACCGGGGACCACCCATGCCCCTCCCCACTCATTGATTATTGGTTGGGAATCACCAGGCTCTTTGCTTCCCATAGGTTATCGTAAGTTTTAAAAGCACCTGAAAAAGAGAAACATGCTCTCTCTGCTTCCAGCTTCCACCTGTGCTCACCATGCTCTCTTTTGTAATTCCCTTCCCTAACTTTTAATAAACTCCATTTACACCCATGTGTCCTGCCATGTCCTGTGTGGACACAAAGGATTTGGAAATCTTCTGATCACAGACTATACCATTGCTGTTAACAGTTTCATTTTGAGTGCCCAGCCCTCTAAACATCCAAGTAAAGGGAGCACCTTTTAAGAATCTGGAGACCATTCTGCCCACAGCTGCTATGGCCAGAAGCAGACCAGTTCATATCTAAGGCCACTTTCGTTCATTTTGGGAGTCTCTGCTGCTTGACATCTGGTCATCAGGATACTCACAGAGGTGGGCTGGACTGGCATCCAGACTGACCCCATTGGCTGGTCCTGGCCAGTCAGGGCTTGGAGGAGGGGTGTTGCTTGTCTGTACCCCACCAGCCATCTGAGACCTCTTTGCAGCATGGTGCCCTTCTGAGGGCTGCCACCTGAACCTCCATGTTTAAAGGCTATCATGAGGCTCTGCCCCAGCCAATCAGAGTTCAACTTTGTTTCCTAGGGACAAAGAGAGGAAAAGCAGCAAAGTCCTTTCCCTTTCCTCTCACCAGGCAAACAGTGAGGAGTGCAACTAGAAGGGACACTAAGTAATCATGCATAGTAAATGACAAATACGTTGATATTTAGAGTGGCTGGAAGCATTTTTTTAATTGAGTCAACTAAGATTATGTAATCCTTGTTGTGTAATGTATGATTGTTTTCCTGAAACAATTGGATCAATCTTACAGTATTTTGCTGGCCAAAGGTTACTGAGTGATTAACAATGACCAGGAACCAGAGTGAACACCTTCAATTGGTGACTTGAGGGCAAATGGCTCTAAACACCTCGCCCTAGTTCTTCACTATCTTGATGGGTCCAACCAATATTAATTAAGCACAAGTTAGGTGTCAGGGACCATTCCAGGCTCTGGGGATGTGGCCATTCACAAAACTAATGGAGTTTATATCCAGTAGGCAAAGACATGACACTGATTGTTGTCCTTTCCATATTCTAGGCACAGTTCTAAATGTTTACACTGATTTATCTCTTTTAATACTTATATGATCTCATATTTAGTCCAAATGCAAATTTTGCCAGTTGTCCCAAAACTGTTCTTCATGCATTTTCTCCCTGATCCAGAATCCAATTTCAGTGACTTGTCATGCCTCTTTAGTTTCCTTTAATTGGAACAGCTCTTTAGCCTTCACTTGACAGATATGTTTTTAACATACTCACATATACACACAGATGCCCAGGAATGAGCTCCAATTCTCTCTCCTGCAGGACTAGTGGTTTGCTAGTCAGTGAGCAGTAGGTGGCGCTAGAACACAACCTCTTCATCCTGGGATACCCTCTAACATGGGCCAGAGGGGTGCTTTTTTGCCACCCCCACTTGACACATAAGGAAATGGAAGCATAAAACAGTTGAAATAAGTTGTCCCAAGTTTTATAGCTAGTAAAAAGTTATATGCTACTTATTTCATTATATTAATAATAACCTTTGTATATTTACAGGTTACAGATGGGGCATGGAGGACAGATACCATCGTCACCATCATCCTCATCAATGACTGCTCTGAGACTCAGGAAGTTCAGGTTGGCTCATACAGGAAGGAGCGGGGCCAGGACCTGTCTTCCAATGTCCCCTAAGGAAAGTGTGACGTTGCTCAACATCCAGGATTCATCTTACTTCAGAAGTATTAGGTACCCTAAATGATTTCTGCAGGGGTCAGAGAGAGAAGAGTCCTGGCAATCAACAGTCTGGCAAAAGGCAGAGGAAACCCTTCTTAAAATCTCACACCAGTTGCAGAACTGGTCCAATCTATTGCACCCAGCATGGTGCCTGTCTCATGGGGTTGACTGCATCAGGGTCACATCCTCCAGAGCACAGCCAAGCAGTAGGATAGCCAGGCTGAGAAGCACATGGCATGTGTTAGCCAATGCAGGAGTTAAGGTGGAAAAGCCTGTGACTCTGGAGACATCCTCCTGGGGATTCCAGTTTGGCAGTATGCTGGCAGCCAATTCATGTTTTTTCTCACCAAATAAAATTTTATTGCTATCCTGTCACTAATAGCCCCAAATCATAAAGTAATAGTCAATTATTGGATTTCTTCCTCAGATTAGAATTTTAAGTGAAATGTTTGACATCAGGAATTTTATTCATTATATTGAAACTCAAGTAATTTTATGTAACTAATCATCTTGAAGGAGTCTTTTTAGATCATGAGCACCAAGATTGAAGTAGTAATAGTCTCCCAACAAATGAAAGCCCAGAACTGAATAGATTCGTAGCCAAATTCTATCAGATCTTTAAAGAAGAATTACCACCAATGCTCCTCAAACTATTCTATAAAATAGAAAGGGAAGGAATGTTATCAAACTCATTTGGTGAAGACAGGGTAAGGACAGATAAGGACACAACAACAAAAAGAATAGACCAGTTTCCGGGTGAGCATAGTTGCAAATTTTCTTAACAAAATACTTGAAAATCAAATTCAGCAACATATTAAAAAAGATCCTCTACCAAGATCAAGTTGATTTCATTCTAGGGATGCAAGAATGGTCCAACATATGCAACTCAATAAACATAATACAGAACGTACACAGAATAAAGGACAAAAAATCAATTCCAAGTAGATCAAAGACCTTAACATAAAATCCAAAACTTTGAAACTCCTACAGGGAAATACAGGAAAAAGGAAATAGGTATAGGCAAAGACTTTCAGAATAGAAATTTAATAGCTCAGGAAATAAGAGCAAGAATTGACAAATGGAATTGCATCAGATGAAAAAGTTTCTGCACAGCAAAGGAAACAATTGCCAGAGTGAAGAGACAGTCTATAGGATGGGAAATAATTGTCAGCTATTTGTCTGACAAGGGGTTAATATCACCAATATATAAAGAGCTCAGAGAATTAAACACCAAAAGAACAAATAATCCTATAACAAATGAGTAAATGAAAAGACAGTTCTCAAAAGAAGAAATGCACTCAGTGATATGATTCCAGTTGATCCTTCTGACTCACCTCTGTGGGCTCAATAGCAGGGAGATGAAGAGGACAGTGACTGAGAGACCAAGGGGAAAAAAAGAAGAGATACAAACGCCAATAAATATATGAAAGAATGTTCAGCATTTTTAGTCACCAAGGAAATGCAAATTAAAACTACATTGAGGTTCCACTAACCTCAGTCAGAAAAGCCATCATCAATGAAACAACAAATGAGGATGCAGGAGAAAAATGAACCCTCATACACTGTTGGTGTGAATGGAAATTAGTGTAAACACTATGGAACTCTGTATGAAGGCTCCTTAAAAAACTAAAAATTGAATGAACATATGACCCTGCTACACCACTCCTAGGCATATACCCAAAGAAATCAGTCAGCCCACAAAAGAGACCCTACACACTCATGTTTATTGTGCTACAATTCATAATAGCCAACTTAGGGAATCAGCCTAGGTGCTCAGCAACAGCTGAATGGATAAAGAAATTGTGGTATAGATATATACTATTATTTGGCCATAAAGAAGAATGAAGTTATGTTCTTTGCAGGAAAATAGATGGAACTAGAAATCATCATGTTAAATGAAATAAGCCAGACTGAGAAGGACAAATACCACATTTTCTCTCATATGCAGAATCTAGACCTAAAAACCAATCAACCAACAGACAAAAAGACATGAATGCACAAAGGGAATTATTTGCTATTTGGAGGAAGCTAGTGGGAGGGTGAAGGGAGACTATGGAGAATAATGGGGGGTAAATATGATTGAAGTACATTGTATACATGTATGAAAATGTTATAATAAAATACATTATTTTATAAAATAAGAAAGACTGAGAGGGCTGGGATATAGTTTAGTAGTAGAGCACTTACTTACTATCCGAGGGGCCTGGGGTTCTAACCCCAGTGCATGTACACACACACACACACACACACACACACACACACACAGGTAAAGCAAGAAAATGTGGGTAAGTACTCAGCTTAGAGTAGGTGCCTAGAAATTAGAGTGTCTCTCTGTTCCCTTCCCCATGTCTATCCTGCTATTACCATTTCAATCCAGGAAGTATTGATTGAATGCCTCACTGTGCCACTATGAAAAATGTAATAACTGAAATAAACAGCAACACACAAACACCTCCCAACCCCCTTAGGATTAGCTGAAATGAAGGACGGTTAGAAGCTTGTAAGAGCCTGTCTCCCTTTAAAGATAGATTTATTTGCTGCCAGAAGTTGGTGGAGACCTTTGTACCTTTACATTAGTGTAATTACAGTTGATGACAAGAAGAAACTAGGGCAATAGGTTGGCCCCTGTGAAATTGACAGGGAGATAAAAATCCTATAAAGTGACTGGTTATAGCTGTGCATTGTTAAGGACTGAGGCAAGGAGCTTCTAAACAAGGATATCATCAAGTACAGGAAGGAGTAGAAAATACTCTGGAGTTAGTAGGTATAGGTAAGAACTTTCTCAACAGAACTCTAGCAGCACAGCAACTAAGAGATAGCATAGATAAATGGGACTTCATAAAACTAAAAAGCTTCTGTTCATCAAAAGAAATGGTCTCTAAACTGAAGAGAACACCCACAGAGTGGGAGAAAGTATTTGCCAGCTACACATCAGACAAAGGACTGATAACCAGAATATATAGGGAACTTAAAAAACTAAATTCTCCCAAAATTAATGAACCAATAAAGAAAAGGGCAAGTGAACTAAACAGAACTTTCTCAAAAGAAGAAATTCAAATGGCCAAAAAACACATGAAAAAATGCTCACCATCTCTAGCAATAAAGGAAATGCAAATTAAAACCACACTAAGATTCCACCTCACCCCTGTTAGAATAGCCATCATCAGCAACACCACCAACAACAGGTGTTGGCAAGGATGTGGGGAAAAAGGAACTCTCTTACACCATTGGTGGGAATGTAAACTAGTACAACCACTCAGGAAAACAATTTGGAGGCTACTTAAAAAGCTAAACATTGATCTACCATTTGATCCAGCAATACCACTCTTGGGGATATACCCAAAAGACTGTGACACAGGTTACTCCAGAGGCACCTGCACACCCATGTTTATTGCAGCACTATTCACAATAGCCAAGTTAGGGAAACAGCCAAGATGCCCCACTACTGATGGATGGATCAAGAAAATGTGGTATCTATACACAATGGAATTTTATGCAGCCATGAAGAAGAATGAAATGTTATCATTCACTGGTAAATGGATGGAATTGGAGAACATCATTCTGAGTGAGGTTAGCCTGGCCCAAAAGACCAAAAATCGTATGTTCTCCCTCATATGCAGACATTAGATCAAGGGCAAACACAACAAGGGGATTTGACTTTGATCACATGATAAAAGCGAGCACACACAAGGGAGGGGTGAGGATAGGTAAAACACCTAAAAATTTAGCTAGCATTTGTTGCCCTCAACGCAGAGAAACTAAAGCAGATACCTTAAAAGCAACTGAGGCCAATAAGAGAAGGGGACCAGGAACTAGAGAAAGGGTTAGCTCAAGAAGAATTAACCTAGAAGGTAACACACACAGCAAAAACCCTTGGTCCTTCCTATTATTGCTTATACTCTCTTCAACAAAATTAGAGATAAGGGCAAAATAGTTTCTGCCGGCTATCGAGGGGGTGGGGGGGAGAGGGAGGGGGCGGAATGGGTGGTAAGGGAGGGGGTGGAGGCAGGGGGGAGAAATGACCCAAGCATTGTATGCACATATGAATAATAAAACAATAAAAATTAAAAAAAAATAACCAATGCAGAAAGGGCTGGCAGAGTGGCTCAAGTGGTAGAAACAAACAAACAAACAAAAAAAGATATCATCAAGAACATTTCAATTATAAGAAATGAGAAAATACCAAGTTTGGCTCCTGTGAACATGCTTGCTGCCAAGGCAAACAAAGGTAATATCTCACCCTGGAGCAAAGACTTGCGGGTTCAATGGCATCTCTATTTAAAGACTGAGTTGCCAGAGCATGAAGTTCCTTCATTGTGGTAATGTTTGTTTGTTTGTTATTTATTTTGCACACTGGAGTCTGAATTCAGGGCCACATGTTTGCTAGGCAGGTGCTCTACCATTTGAGCCATTCCACCAGTCCAGAAGTTCCTTAGTTGTGATGCGTAACTATTACCTGCACAACAGCTGCTCAGGCCACTCTGTGTCACCACTTGAAGAGTTGGAGGGTCAAGGAGAACATGTGGGACCATTAAGCTCATGCTGTCTATTGGGATACAGATGACAAAGTCCTTTGTCTTGTCATGTGGTCTCATACCTCCTGCTAGCCTTACTCTAGCCTATTCACTTTCACACCTCAGCCCATCCGCAGGTTCTGGAAGAACCTTGTCAGGTAATTCCTCCAAAAACCTTCTGCAAGAGCCAGGTGGTCCACTGGGGGGCAGTCCATAAGGCCCACGGACACAGCAGGGTCCCAGGCCAACCAGACCAAGGGATGCAAGAGGGCCAGAGGCGATCCATGAAGTAGGAGCCCTCCTCCTCGGGGAGGCCAGGCCTAGCTACCCCTGGTGGGCACCAGCTTTCAGGAAAGATGGCCCGAGGGAGCCATTGCTCCTCTACCACACACCTGGGGTCCTGCCCATCATCATCATCTCCTTCCTCACAGACATGACCTGCCAGTATGTATCTATCCTCCTCAGAATGACAAGAAGCTCATTCATGAGCGAGTCTCCAGCTGTCAAGTTCTACTTTGAAGCAGTCCTCAGGGAATATGGAAAATACATTCCTAAATAATCTGTCTTTTGGGGGAGGAGAGGTGCTGGGGATTGAACCTAGAGTCTTGTGCACTCTACCACTGAGCTATACCTCCAGACCCCAAGTTGTCCTTCTTGACATGAAAATATTACTTCAACAATCCCAAGGATGGATTAAAAAAAAAAAAAAAGCAACCTAAAAGGAAGGCAGTACATCTCCTGACCAATTCTAAAGGGAATGTATGTGATAAATGTCCTCTCTATGATCCTTACTGATGATGGATCAATATACCATTCTCAGGTTATCTTAAAACCATGGTCCAGGGCCAGTGGAGTAGATCAAGTGGTAAAGCACCTGCCTAGCAAGTGTGAGACCGCAAGTTCAAACCCCTAGTCCCCCCTCCAAAAAAAAGAAAAAAACCCAAGGTCTAGTTCCACTGGCTCTTGGTTTTAAGCCTCTGTTATAGCAAGGAACTAAACTACTCAGGTGAGTTCCACGTCTTGGTACTTCCTCCATGGATTGGACAAGTTTGATTCTGGATGAGTTCCACAGTTGGATTAGTATTTCCTCCACGATTTAGGGCTCTTGGTTCTGGGCCAACCATGCTGACCAATCATGAATGGTTGGAGCAGATGACTGGAGTAGCCATGGCCAAGCCCAACAAAGCTTCAAACTAGACATGGAGCTAATAGGTCATCAGCAGACACCA